TTGCCGACTGGCGGCCATTTTGTTAAAGAATTCAGTTCTGGATCCGTATCCAAGACATGTCTGGATTGATCAAGTTCAAACTTCACACACACATGGTACATCATGTCACAAATAGATATGTGCATTTGTTTCATGATCTGCTTAACAATAGCGGAATGATGGCCATTTTAAGGCCGAAAATGCATCAAAATCACGTATTTTCACAATTCCAGAACCGGATCTCAGTCATACATGGATGGATTTTGTTCAGATTTAGCACAATGTGTTGTACATATGCAGGTGCATTTCGGTCATGATCTGCTTTGAATGTATATGTCACTCAAATATGAACGGAACGGGGACGTGTCATTGACAATGACTTGTTGCTTACTAGTCTTTCCAATCCCCATACCCATGCACTTGAGAACGTCTATAAAATTGCAATGTTGGACAAATCATTAGTGTGATTGCGGACGTATTACCTGCTATTGCTGAATGGAAACCAGCGTTGTAGTCTAATGTTACTTCGTTTTTATAGTAGTCCTCTCTGTCATCTTCGTAGTCGTCTTCCTCATAGGGTCCACCTACCATAGCGCCATAGAGTACTTGTGGGTTGGGATCCAAACTGTTGAAAGTGCCCCAGTTACAATTAGCTGGTAAATCGGGACACGAACTGTTGGGGAAAAAAGACGATAACACATCGAGTATTTAGTAAAATTGTTTGTTACACTGATTATATAATTTAATTTTGAATTATAAACAACAAACCCACCTGCTCCGGTGGTGAGGGTAAACTGGAGGATTGTTTCCAAATCCGCATACATAACTACGTCCCGAGTCTCCCAGTATATAGTGAAGTTGGTCTTTGGCAAATTGTCGGTATGTTTCGGCATTTATCCCATTCTCAGCTGCTATCAATGCAATGAACGCTGTGCCGGCTAAAACAAATAATAACGTGCGTATACGTAAATGTCTACAAGTATGATATCAATACAATACCAACGTTTATTTACTCTTATAATGACACAATTAATTTGCTTGGCAAAGACACGATACATGATCGTCGATCAATAATAATCGTGAACGAAAATGGCCAGCAGCTAGAATCAAGGGGGATTCGCACAGAATTCTGCGTGAATCAAAGAAATACTCGCTGTTACGGCACGCCTGATTGACTGAAAACGAGTCGGCGCACTCTATTTACCCAGAACTCTGTGCAAATCCTACCTTGATTATAGCTGCTGGCCATTGTCGTTATGAAATCGAGGTATATCACCAGAAAACGCGGGATTTGCTCAGTTTTGAATAAAACCAAGTTAGCAATTATGAGCAAAGGTTATTAACGTAACAACCGATCCCTTCTGAACTTTTTGTTCCGCATTTTAGGGTAAGAAATCGGCATTTGAAACCGACATGGTGTCTCATTTATATGCGCATAGCGGATGACTTTTTTTTTTTTAAATAGTATTTATTCATTTTCAGCTCCCAAGTCTGTGGACTACCGCCCTTTAAGTATTACTGTTGTCATTGATTGAAGTGGTTTATTGGTTTCAAACACAAGCGAATCAAACAAACCTCTCCCCTTCTGGCCATTAGAACATTAAAGCGCAGTGGTCGTCGCGCAGCGCGTGTTCGAATTTCATGTAAATAAACAATGTATTTTACACGCGTTGTATACGTCGCTATGAGTCCCATATGGAACAGAACGCGGTGCGACGACTGTCGCCATTTTAACTGTAGTCGTCTTCCCACAAAATATGAGTCTGCCAACTAAAATGGCGTGAGGTCACATACATGAATGATCGCGACATGCATTTGACTAGTGCTTCCCATCATGACACCCATTGCGCTACGACGTGTATAGAAACTTACCTGCGTATCGAAGAGACCCCCAGAAATGTCGGAACACAAGTCCCTTTGGCGTGTAAGACACGACTCCATCTGGTAACCAGCCATCCAGAAATTTGGTTATTTTTTTCAAATAATCGCCCGAGGGATCACCAGTCAAGTTGTATAAAAGTAACTGAAGAAATATCACGATAGACAAATAAAATGGAATAAAATAAGAATGAATAAGTAATCCAATTCTTCACAGAAGAACATGTTACAAACGGGCAATTGTCTCTGGTGTTTTGTTACAGTATGTGTGATCAAAGCGATGAGATATACTTACGTGTACACCTGCATCAACCTGCGCCCAGGCAAATGACCAGGGACGTCCACTGGCCATATTTTCTAATTCAGTTACTGATTTATTTAGATATATTTCCTCTCCGGTTGCTTTATATAACCATATCGCAGCCCACGATATCTCGTCATTGTACTTGCTTCCTCTGTGGAAAGATTGCACATACATGAATTTATGATTATACTTTTATATGTTGACATACGATTAGAAACGACATCCAAATCCCGATTACCAAAGAATAATATTTAAGCAAATAAACGTCAATATTATTACACAATCGCGCTTTAATTTTTCCAACAAAACCATGGTCAGTTGTAAAACAAAACCATGGCAAGTTGTAATGAAAACAAACACTTCTCCACGCATGCGCATTCATAGTGTTAAAATCATTATTCTCCAGGTTCATTTTGTTAACTAATTAGAACGACGAAGAGGCATACAAATTTTACCACACTTACGAAGTATAAATCAGGTCCCCTATCTCAGAGTCGAAGAAGGAATCTCGATAAAAACCTCGTTCTGTGTCGGCGAATTCAAATAGTTCTCTTGATTCATTGAGAAGTAATGCTGCATAGTCTGGGTCTACAAACAAAAAAATAAATGAATTCTGTAATATTGCGCAAGAAGTTTCGAAAAACAATATTGAAGAACTAATTAGGATTAAATTTGGGTTAGGTTGTTTTATGTTTATTACGCTTCATTTCTCTAGCGTCCTCTAGTGATGGGACGCTTTTGTGACGTCGAAATGACGTATATTGATCAAGTAACTGTCACTCAAAGACAACTGTATGTATTATTCGTGCAGTCATCCATAATATATCATAATACCGTGTAATTCCTTCATTGGTCGATCGGTATCATGTACAGCCTCGTTATCAGATTACTGGTTTTTGATTGGGGTCAATGTACGAACATACAAACAAGAATACGTTGAAAGTAGCCATATCCAATGCTTTCCAAAATCTACAACAATCTTTCCATGATTCCTCCACGTTAAACAAATCCTGAGTATTTAGAACTAGTTTGCTCGATAACGTTTTACCGCACTGATTTATTGCTTCTCGGGCTACCACTACACGTATATATTCAATTTTATTTGGGGTATTTTAATTGAAATAAACGACTCCGCAGTGTCCAATATTGGGTGACAATACTGCGTCTCGCCATTATTGCGTCCGTTCCCTGTTGTTTAAACAATATCGAATCTTCCACGTTGAAATATTGGATAAGAAGTAGGAACTATGGCAAGATAATGTTTGAGGTGAAGCCGAACACATTATCACGTCTAGACATAGTTCCTGAATAGACTATGACGCTGTGGGAGATTCATTATTGAACAAGTTTAGTTAAATTTGGGGGCCTTTTGTTGAAGTACTTGCGAATAGCGGTTTGCATTATCGATTGCGATAACGTAAAGCTATGACGTCATAAAACACAATAAAGTTGATTTATACCATAAAATTTCTGGCGGTGCGTCGTCCTTAATTTCCAAAACAAAGACTGCATTGGTGGACGATTACAGATCAAAGTCATATCGAGGCTTAGAACGGCCTGTTCGTCACTCACTTACGTCATAAAAGTGCTTCGTCACTAGAAGGCGTATTACATATAATTTTATACAATTCACATTTATATTTTATAGAATTACTCCGTAAACATAATATATTTGTTTAGATTAGTTACCTGTGTCTGCGAATACCATTGAAGATGCAGCAAGAGCAGCCGCTGTTGCGCCTGCAACATCACTCCCCGGCGATGTTGAGTTAATTCTGAAGGCTGGTCTATCCATTGTCATTTCTTCAGGGCGTCCCCAGTATGTGTGATCAAGTGAGACGGTGCCAATCTACAGACGGAAAAAACACAATGCACTATGAGTATGAATAATATGTAATATTGAGAAATGATTTATTCCCGTGATAATATGCTGCAAGGCACGTTATTCCATCGGTCAATAGAAACCTCTCGTCTCAGTTTGAATAGTGAGCTTTATGAATATTTATAAGGAAGTGCCTGTGTTGTGCCGAGAGTATCAAATAAGATTTTGCTCATATATCGGAACAGTCCCACATAGAACATTCCCCAAAATGTACAAGTGGGTTTAAACATTAACCATATTAACCTACTTGCACATACAATTCGTTCGATGCTGTGTGTGCTTTTAATATAAAGTCTGTCCCCCATCTGATACAATCCAACATATTCTGCGTTTCATCGGCTTCTTCGTATGCATCCTTGAATTCCAGATAACCCCAGCTGAGAACCGCGACACTGAACGCCATCGGGAACGTTGACTTGATGTGATCACCGGCTGCGAATATGAATGATTGAAGCATATAATGGACAATAGTAATATTATGTGTATTAGAATGCGTCGATAGAAAGATCTACATCACCACCCACCATCATACCAGCCACCCGTTAAATCTTCACCGTTAAGTCCCATGTCATCTAACGCGGAATCTCCTCGATAGGGTATTCTGTTGGTCGGTGGTAATGTGCCTGATCGCTGTGCTTCGTAGAAGAGTATAGACTTGTACAGAGCATCCGTGTAGTTATATGAGTTGTTGGAATCTACGAATAGAAAAGCCAATGATTTAAGCTATTACAACATTTTGTTCCTTCCTACATACATCTGTATTGCTCAGAATAGTTGATTCAATCGTTGAAATGTATCCCATAGTAAGACCATTTTTAGTAAGACAGCTGTTTTTTATTTAAATGTGTGCAATGTTCAAGTTGGGTTTTAACTATAGGTCAATCGTGGATGACATTAATTTAGAAGCATAACCAATCATTCAAAAGTACATGAGCTTCGTTCCTTTGAATTTTTTTCTTATCTCCTAAACTACTGTAGAATACTTTATTTTCGCTTGGAATTTATTTTCGCTATTTTCACTGAAGGGATGATTCTGTGAATTTAAAATAAAATCCATACAAAACGCCTAAAAAGCCTTTTCAGTGAAAATTAATTCCAGCGAAAATAAAGTATTCCACAGTATTTTTACTAATTAAAAATGGCATGTGCTTTATATACGTAATCAATATACGTAGGATAATAATGTTCCTATTATGCACGTCTAAACAACATTTATCATAACAAAACTGATTCTGTATTATATTATTATAGCAATATTTCAATTGCCTGAATACGCCGTTCTGACTTGCTGAGAGCGTACTTGAAATTATACAAAATAAACGATATTCCACGGTTTAGAAGTAGGTCCCAGACTGAATACAGGAGGGAATCGGCAAAAATAATAATATTTTTCACGACAGATATAGAGCGTTATGGCTAAAAACAGCAAAATGAAGTTGGTACATGTATTATATAATAGGAATAACCACCACCAGAGGCGAGTAGACCACTCGATTTCGGCCAGTTCACTTCCTCATTTCGTGGTATGATCACCTCTGGGGTGGGGTGTTTCTTAATTACATGACATATTAAAGCGGGAGGATCGTTACCTGCGCATGCGCGGAAATTTAGTTCAAGCAATGATAACAACACACGCTAAAAACGTAAAGGGGCTCGTGGGTAAACGCTTGTTTTTAAACAATGACTCCCCCGCTTTAACTGTGTTTACTCATATAGTACCTTAGATTTGATTTGCTCTCGGGAGAGCATGAATTGAAAAAACGAAAATCAAAACACAGATTATGCCTGTTTTACGATTTGAAATCATACATGTCGATAACCTGGTCAACAAATCATTGACCTTCTCAACACGGTATTGACCTCGCAACGTGATAATGACCTTGTTAAATTGATATAAGCAATAATTATCTAATATATGATCAAATTTCATTTATTTTATTGAAATCGGGAATATACAACATGTACAGTAAGCTCCTTCAATGGCCCAACTACGTTAATAGAAATATAATATCAATGTTATACTGCACCATCTGTCAAAGTTGTTGTTTCTATAGTTGTGGCGTAGTGTGGAGTATTTATGAATGTCAACGCATTAGTGTCAGTTGTGACGTAGTATGGCGTATTTGTAAATGCCAACGCATTGATACCAGTAATGGTACTAGCATTTATTTCGTAGTCCATCGTAACGTCGGTCGTAGTGGTACGGGGTGGAATAGGTACTTCTGTAAAACAAAAATAGTGACGCATTAAACAATTCATTTTTTACAAAGATATTAAATAATTACCAATCTTTACGAGCATTAACAAATTCAGAGAAAAGTTACCAGCTTCGCAGAGATACACTCATGTTATACTAAATAACATATCTCAAAATACAACCACGTTTTCGTTTGTAATTTGAACTGTATAGTAAGGGTTTCGTATCTTGCTATTTTGTCTGCGTAATAGTGGGTGTGCTGTTTGAGTCAACGCGTAAATACAAAGCAGAATTTGATAGGTCGGAAACGAAAGAAAAAACATGTCATCAAATAAGCTGCTCTCTGATTGGACAGATGGTTGGGTGTTTTTGTAACAACCAGATGGGCTATTTGGTATAATATTAATGTGTCCCAGCCTGGTAAATTTTGTTGAATTAAAACATTTCAATAGTTATATAATATCTACAGATAGAAACGATGTCCTAGACTGGCGCAGTCGAGGCGATTAATTTGTTTTTTGTAGTTTAAATACAATTAAAAAATTCGCGAAATGGAGGTGTTAGCGCGAAATCACCCCGACTGGTTTATTCTGCAGGAAATTCATTGCTATTAAATATTCATGAATTGCACGTATTATAATGAGGTGGGCGCGGAAATACGTGCATAATGAGGTCAACATGGTAAATGTCAGGTCTCATGCCACTAATTAACCAATGGCTGCTCAATTTAAATGCCCAGCAAGAACCAATGAAATTTTTTAAATATTATTTTTCTCAGGTGCTCCCTGTTTGAGGGCGTAATCACCTGGGTCAGAGGTGAGACCAACATGTGGTCTTTTGTTTACTACTTAGCGGCTGTGTACCTGTGGGTTTATTCTGTGTGTTAATGGATGTTCTAATCTTGGTGTTTTTCCAGTGATTTCTCTTGGTGCAATCCAAATACAGTAGGTGTGTCTTGTTTACCTGAGATTTGCAAGAGTTTGAGCTGGCCAACATGTTAGTTTTTTTCATATGGTTGATTACTGGCATGTTGATTTTCCATTTTTGAGCCATATTTTCAACTTTCTTCGTCATTTTCATATAGCAATCTCGTCATATGTTAACATTGTCGTCTATGGAAATTCAATTAGTGGTATGAGCCC